TTACGCAGGAAGCAAAGCGTTTGCAACAGAAAGTATTCGGAGCCTGGTGTTCCAGTATAAAAGACCTGAGTCTTAGATCGGAGATGTTCGTGCGCTACAACAACTGACCCGACGGACATTCTCCCATAGGTATAAGGACCACACGTCCTAGATTGGTTTAGCACCAATGGTTCCACGTTTGAATCGGTCACACTTAACCTGCCAGGTGGCATTGACCGTTTCCTATTCTATTCCATAACGTGCTTGGCACTAATAGGCTAATTATCTTAATCCAACTTCACACGCATGCCTGACCACCCCCTGTACTCATGATTTAGGACAATTTTCAATATATTAAACAATCTTTTCTCTTTTTCGCCGATTTAAATCTTAGGCCAAACGCAGATGCTCATCCCTGAAAAATTGACAAGGCTCAGAGTCACACGCTTCCATCAGGACTCAATTTTCATGGGAAGTTAAACAAGCGCACGCTTTTACATGATAGCGCTTTTGATGCTATTGCGAACATTGCTGACAAGCAAGCCTGACATAGTCCTTTATTCGTGCCTAGATTCACAACAACCAGCGAAGTCCATAGCACACCACTATCGAATACCTACAAGGGCCAAGCTCATCCCTGAAAATTGATGTAAATTGTGCCACTAATTGGAGTATTTAGCCTTACATTTACTGTTTGATAATCATCAACCACCACCGAATCCACTATAGTAGAACCTCTCGACCATGCAAACGATTCATCACCCTGTACCAACACTATGGAATTTGTAAGACGTCCTTCGTGATGATGGGATCAGCTACGGCGCCAGGTGGAACATTTTGACCTATCTTCTTTTCTGAGATGGCGGACGAGCTAACAACACGCCTTTCAACAATGATTCCCGTTGTCCCCTTGGGGCCTATAATGACTGGTTAAAGCATTTTAACAGACGGTTGGCTGCCCTAGTTGAATATCACCTTACCTCATACCTATCCATGGCCGGGGCAAGACTCCCAACCCCCCGGACCCCCGCCCCTAGGCGTCTCCTCAGACACGTTGGCGTTGGAGAGCGGTACGCTAGGTGTGATCTTCAGAAAATCCCAAAACAGGATTCAAGATCCGCTAACTCAAGCGACTCATTCAACTGATCAACGATGAAACATGGAGCGGGTTGGACATTGATGTGAAGGGGGATATCTACGAAGGGTTGTTGCAGAAAAACGCAGAAGATATCAAAAGCGGCGCGGGCCAATACTTCACACCCCGGCCCCTGATTCAGGCAATCGTGGAAGTGATGAGACCGGAACCGATGCAAACCATCTGTGATCCCGCGTGCGGCACCGGTGGCTTTTTTCTCGCAGCCCATGACTATCTGGCAAGTAAGAGTGCCCAGCTTGACAGAGAACAGAAGCAGTTTCTCAAAGACGGGACCTTTCACGGCGTGGACCTCGTGGACAGTGTGGTGAGGCTCTGCGTGATGAACTTACACCTTCACGGTATCGGCGGAGACAAGAGTCCTGTGGAAACAGGGGATAGTCTGATTTCGGATACGGGTCAGCATTTTGACATGGTGTTGACGAATCCGCACTTTGGCAAGAAGAGTAGCATCACGATTGTGGATGAAAAAGGGGAGGGCGGGAAAAACGCGCTCACCTATGAGCGGGAGGATTTTTGGGCGACTACCTCCAACAAGCAGCTTAACTTCCTGCAGCACGTCAAACGATTCTGGAAATCAACGGCAGGGCGGCGGTTGTCGTGCCGGATAACGTCCTGTTTGAAGGGGGCGCGGGGAACCGTTCGTAAGAAACTGCTACACGAGTGCGATGTCCATACGCTGCTCCGACTCCCAACGGGCATCTTTTACGCGCAAGGTGTCAAGGCAAATGTGCTGTTCTTCGATCGCAGACCCGCCAGCGAAACCCGTGGACAGAGAAACTGTGGATTTACGACCTACGACCAACCAGCGATTCACGCTGAAAACGAAACAGATGCGCTACAGCGACCTTCACGATTTCACCACCTGTTACAATCCCGACGACCGCCACGATCGGAAAGAGACCGAGCGGTTTAAGTCTTTCTCCTATGATGACTGATGCAGCGAGACAAGGTCAGCCTTGATATGTTCTGCTGCGAGACGAAAGCCTTGAGGATACCGAGAATCTGCCGGAACCTGATGAATTGGCAGAGGATATCGCCGCGAATCTGGCGGCGGCGTTAGAGCAGTTTCAGGATATTTACGAGGGACTCGCTCAGTAAACAGATTCGCTCATGTTAAGAAATAGTGCAAAGAAACCGAGTTTTTCCGGAAAAACTCGGTTTCGCTAAACTGCCCTGCACTTTCTTTTGACATGGACCGACAGATTTACTAAGCAACCCAAGTAGGGAGAAACGATTGCCCCTCTACCCGTTCAGGAAATTCTTTAATAGTTTTTTTCCCCTCAACGGTCAAGATCGATTCCGGGTGGAACTGCACCCCCCAGATCGGATAGTCCTTTGTGCCGAAGCCCCATAATTTCGTCTTGGTCTGTCCATGCAGTGAGTTCAAAGCAATCCGGCAACGTCTCCTTTTTCACAATGAGGGAATGATAACGTGTCGCCTCAAACGGGTTTTCGAGGTCGTCGAAAATCTGTTCACCGTTGTGGTAGGAATCATTGACGTTTTGCCGTGCATCAACCGTCCGGCGCGGACGACATCGCCGCCAAAGACATCGCCGATACACTGATGCCCCAAGCAGACGCCGAGAAGGGGGACACGCCCGGCAAAGTGACGGATCAGATCGCAGGAAATGCCTGCTTCCCGCGGTGTGCAGGGACCCGGCGATATGACAATCTTCTCAGGTGCGAGGGCTTCGATCTGGTCGAGCGTGATTTTGTCGTTGCGATGGACGACAAGGTTCGCTCCTAACTCGCCGAGATATTGTACGAGGTTGTAGGTGAATGAGTCGTAATTGTCAATCATGAGTATCATGGTTCTTCTCCTAACCATTTCTGTGGATTCTCATCATCTCGTTGCCGCCTTTCTGGAATTCATAAGGTACGCGGCAAATATCAACCGTAAATCCCGCTTCCGAAAAATGTGATTGAATCGGTGCAACGTAGGGCGATCTCTCGCAATTCAACGTCAGCAGCGGGAAAATCCGTACCTCTTGAGAAACGCGACAGAGTTCTTGTATAGAATCCCGATGAAAATCGAAAGATAGCTGAACAGAATATAGAAAAGAGCAGATGCGAGCAGAGTGCTAAATCGAACTGACAATCGGTAAACTGAGTGTAGGTAGAGACTCAGGCAGATAACGTCCTTGCACCTTCCCCACCTCAAAATCCTCCAAAAACTTCCTCATGGTCTCAAGGCGGAAGCGACCACAATGTGCTGGATCTGAAAAGAAATCCCAGACGAAGTTGTCAGAGCTTCCGCTCCACTTGAGAGATAAGGGTATCGTAGTTCTCTTCAATTCTCCCCTCGATCTGTGCTCTTGAAAACGAGTAGATTGGATCAATTGACAGAACCGTATGTCCCAAGGCATTCATCTCGCTGTTAAAACTGGCGGGACCATCACCGACACCGAGGATACATAAGTTCAGTTCCTCATCGGAGAGATTGAACATCCGCGTGTACTCTTGCAGCGATCTGCCCCAAGGGATGACTTGGTTGAGTATCACACTCACGGTTTGCCTCCTGTCACCGATCTACTCTAATCCAGCCTGTGCGAGTTCAATTGCTCTTAACCCCGCCCGCGCCTTGTTGACCGTTTCCTCATATTCCGTTTCGGGCACAGAGTCTGCGACGATGCCACCGCCCGCTTGGACGTAGGCGATACCATCTTTGACGACAAGCGTGCGGATCGTAATCGCTGTATCCGCGCTGCCGGAGAAACTGAAGTAACCGACGGCTCCGCCGTAAGGGTCCCCGCCGCGTCGGTTCAAGTTCATCAATAATCTCCATCGCCCGGATCTTGGGGGCACCGGATAGCGTCCCAGCGGGCAAGCAGGCACGAATCACATCGAAGGGGGTCTGCCCCTCGCGCAATTCTCCGATAACATGCGAGACGATGTGCATCACATGTGAGTAACGTTCAATTACCATCATCTCACTCACGCGCACAGTATGGTATTCGCAGACGCGCCCCAAATCGTTGCGCCCAAGGTCAACGAGCATGACGTGCTCTGCCCGCTCCTTCGGATCGGCGAGGAGTCTCTGTGCCAATGCCTCATCTTCGGCCGGGGTCGCTCCACGCGGGCGGGTGCCTGCGATTGGGCGCATCTCCGCAACTACCGTCCTCAACACGCACCATCATCTCAGGTGAGGCACCAGCAATCTGGAGCTCATCGAACTTGAGGTAATACATATAGGGCGAGGGGTTCACGGTGCGCAAAGCGCGATACGCATCGAATGTATCGACCGATATCGGGACGCTAAAGCGTTGCGACGGCACAACCTGAATGATGTCTCCCGCGGCGATATATTCCTTTGCCCGAAGAACAACCTGATGGTAATCTTCCTTCGTAAAGTTTGAGGTGACAGGCACACTGCTTGGACTTGAAGTTGGCTTATTGGTATAATTCGTCAACAACGGCTGTTTGAGTTTAGCGATGAGTTCGTCGATCTGATCAAGGGCATGTTCGTAGGCTTGGTCGACGTCACCGTTGATATGGGCATTGGCGACCACCTTGATCTGATGGTTCACATGGTCAAACACAAGAAGCGTATCGGTAACCATGAAAAAGCAATCGGGTAGTTCTCGATCATCTTCGGTGGTATCGGGGAGATCCTCGACGAAGCGCACCATGTCGTAGTTCAGGTAGCCGACCGCTCCACCGTGAAACCGCGGCAATCCCTCGACCTCAACGGGTTGGTAGCGAGTCATCAACTCTTCAAGGACCTCCAACGGGTCTTCGGTTTCCAGTTCAACCGTTTCCCCGGTGCGGAGGTCATCAATCCGGACCAAGTTACCTCTGCTCCTAAGTAGGATTGATGGGTCACTGCCGAGAAACGAATACCGAGCGACGTGTTCACCGCCCTCGACACTCTCCAACAGAAATGAGTAATCACTCGCTCCAATCTTGTAAAACGCGGATACAGGTGTTTCCATGTCCGCAAGGATCTGTTTGTAAACGGGAATCAAGTTTCCGTGTTGCGCTTTCTCTCGAAAATCTTCTAAGTTTGGGTAATACATGGAAGTCTCCTTAAAAACTATCAGTATACTGCATCTGGATCGAAAACCTTATCACCAACAATGTGCGTGGAATTGCCATCGGGGGAGACTTCCCGAAAGAAACAGGAGCGATAGCCGGTGTGACACGCTCCGCCTTTCTGTTCGACTTTGATTAACAGCGCATCACCATCGCAATCAAAGGTGACCGTTCGCACGGTTTGCGTGTGCCCTGAAGTCTCCCCCTTGATCCAGTATTCCTGGCGGGAGCGGCTCCAGAAGCAGACACGCCCTGATTCTAATGTCTTCCGCACTGCCTCGCGGTTCATATAGCCAACCATGAGGACCTCTTTGTTTTCGTCATCCTGTATAATGGCAGGAATTAAACCGTTCTGATCGGTCTTGAGTTGATTTAGAATTTCCATTTTTCTCCTCATTTAGCAAAAATAGGCATAAAAAAAGCCGTAGACAACGGGGTTCGTATGCCTACGGCTTCGGTTTCTAGATATGAATCCAAAGAGTTTATCTCAGCAAGGCACACTGCTCCCCTCAACACAACGCCACCAATGCCAATGATGAGATGCGATTGAAAACTGTGGTTGTCGGTTCAGGGTTTGCATAGTACCTCTGACCTACTCCCAAACCTAAAGGGTTGGGGTTCTTTTGATAGACTGAATCCCGATAAAATCGGGATGCTATATTCCTGCTTCGGCGAGATATGCTCCCAAAGCGGAGTCTTACTGTCTCTCCACAAGCGTTTTATGTCTCGGCGTTTGTTCACGCCGCGACCGGCGAGCCAGGGAACGCATTATAATAGCATTTTGGTGTTCTGCTCAATATCTATAGTATACCATATTTTACAAAAAGAAGCAAACAAGATTACCGGGGTTGGACTCAAGTCTAAGGGCTTAGGCATGCTGCTAGTTAGCCGCCAGATTACCTAAAGCATATCGTAATTATAGTTTCGGTGTCAAGAAAATTCCGATGCGATACTCTCACCTAACCAACGGCTGCAAAAATTCGATGCTTCGACGCGCAATTGTCTCTGGATCCGGCTCAAAGTTGAAGACCTTCGGTCGAAAGATAACCGGTGTAATGTGATCCTCCTCAATGCCTCATGATAGCGATATCCCATTACCCGGAACGGGGAGATAGCCGTTATCGTCGTTGGTGTGAAAATGTGCCACGTGTTCGGCGTATTACGCGAACTGCGGGCATGTCCAAATTTTCGGCGGCTGTACTCGTTACATCAAGATATTTGGAAATTCGGGTTATCCACCGCTTTGACCATCTCCACCGCCGCCGCCGGTGTATTGATGAAATTTGTGCTTTGGCTTGTCAACGGTTCCATGCACAAGATGACATCCCTGCTCCTGAGCAAATTCGGCACACGCTGCGAAGGTTTCCTGTGCATAGACTCCACGCCTGCTCTGGTGTCAGTGGATCCAGTATGTTGCGTTCATTGGGCGAACCGATGACCATAATCTTCCACCCAGATCGGCGCAACACGCAATCAGCGCGAAAAAATAGTCCCGTGTTTTCTCGCGGATGGCTCCATCGGGGTGATTGACGTGCAACCCCTTTGGCGAGACCAACAGCCAGTGAAGTCCGGCGATTTCAATCTTCGCTGCATCCGCCGCTTTTCGGATGCGATCTCTCTCGGTTTGGCTGATGTCCAACACCGATTCCGCGAGCGTGAAAGGTGCAAGCTCCACCGCATCGTAGCCGAGTTTGGCAGCGCACGAAAAGACATCTTCGATCTGCCAATCCTCAAACATTTCGTTGCAGATAGCCAGTTTCATGGTCAACTCCTGATTCTGTTTAATTAAAGATCTTCCTTCCACCGTTGGATGAGGTCTGTATCGATGTCAAACTGATCAAGGGTCTTCGTGATGACGAAATTAATCATATCATCAACCGTCTTGGGGAAGTGGTAAAAACCCGGCATCGCAGGCAGCACCACTACTCCCATTTGGGACAGTTTGAGCATGTTTTCCAGATGGATGGGACTGAGCGGCGTTTCACGTGGCACAAGAACCAATTTACGCCGCTCCTTGATGCAAACATCGGCGGCGCGCTGGATGAGGTTTCGAGAAATGCCCGCCGCTATCGAACCGATAGTCCCCATGCTGCACGGTGCAACGATCATACCCACGGTGCGGAAGGAACCGCTGGCGATCGATGCCCCAATGTCGGACTGATGGTGATAAATCACCTGATCTGACGAATAGCCGATAAGGGATTCAAGGCGGAAATTGTCCAGATCTACGCGGAGCTGCAGTTCTTCCCACAACGCCCTTGCGCCTGAGTCGGAAATCGTCAGGTGGATTTCATAGTCGTCGCATCGGGTGAGAGTCTCCAATAGACGCACACCGTAGATGACGGCACTCGCTCCCGTTATCCCGACAATTATACGTTTCAAGCAATCCTCCCGGCTTCGTAAGGCCTAATGTGTGAACTACCCCTTAATCAGTTTGTGGAAAATTGAAGGGGACAATCTGTCCCGTCCTTTTCACACCCACCTCTCCTTCAAATCGGATTCATCGTAGATTGGCAGATCTTCATCTTCAATATCGCGCATCGCAGCAGCTAATGAAAGACGAGACCAATCCAAATCCTCTTTTCGCACACTTTGGTGCTGCATTAGAAATTCAATAAAATCCAGCGTTTCTGCTTGTAATGGTTCAGGTAATTTCTGAACCTGTTCGTGAATTCTTTCAGCAGTGGTCATAACAGCCTCCTGATAGAAGGTGTATTACTCTTCATGAAACGGGGGCAGGTTGCCGTCGGCGTCAAATGCTAATGGTTCCAGTTCGCCGGTGACCTCCAGATCGGTGCGCAGATTTGCGTCTTTCAAGTAGGGCTTCGGAGATGTCCACCTCTGCGAGACCGAGGGTGCTTTCAATTCGCACCACTTTTGCCTGTTCAGGCGGGGTCAGTCCAACCGTGTTCAGTGCGATCTCAATAGCCTCCTGATCGGTGTCGTAATAGAAGGGCGTTTTCGACTTCTGAGGTCCCATCCCGGTGATGCCATTCATGTACGTCGCGTGCCGATCCATCTTTTCCACAAGGCGCGTCGTGGTAAAGTCCGCCAATCCAACGCCTGTCGCGTTGCCGTCGCTATCGTCTGTCAGATCTCGGACGAAGATTCGCACAATCGCGGGCTTCTCTGGCTCTGGCTCAAGGATCTGCATCATACGACCGATGATGTTTGTATCCATCCCTGTCCCGCTGATGTTCTTGCCCATCCAATCCACGATTAAGAGATCGAAGGCATCAAACGGAAGGCGTCCCATCAGCGATTTGGATTCGACGAGGAGTTCACGTTCTCGACGCATCAGTTCACCGGCGCGCATCGCGGCGACCTTCGCTGTCTGTTCGTGTGCGTTTTCGACCAGTCCAATGCCGAAAGCAACTCTTCCGGCATCTAAGAGCAAGCCGGTAACGGTCCGGATGACATGCTCAAACCATAGTGAAAAAGGCGCGGTGGTACATATTCGCACCGTGCTGCTTGCCAAACCCGATCGTCAACATCTTCAGGGTGCCGCTCTCAACCGTGCCTCTGAAATCGGTGTGTGCTTTGACCCGATTGATCGGGACAATGTGATCTGCGTTGGCGGCGTAGGTATCAAGGAAAACGGGCAACTTGTCGGCGGTCTGACCGATTTCGACGACCTCCATCGTTGCCTTTACCGGTGCACCGACCGTCTCTTCGGTGACGCCATAATGCTCTAGTACGGCTCGCTGTCCTTCTGCGGTTGCACCGCCGTGGCTTCCCATCGCTGGCACAACAAACGGTTTTGCACCGATGTCCTTGAGGTAATCCGCTGTTGCTTTAATGACGACAGCAATATTCGCAACCCCGCGGCTGCCGCCGCCAATAGCGACGCTATCCCCTTTGCCGATAATTGACGCCGTACCGATCTGATCCAATTCCGCTCTAACTGCTGCGGGCAAATCCGCAACGACAGGGGCATCAAAATGTTGCTTTATACGAACCATTCTTGGTAGTGCCATGTTCAGTCCTCCATATCTGTGAAATGTTGCTATCATGTTACCAAAAGTTAAAGTGAATAACAAGAGAGAAATGTGTGGTGCGTGAAATGTAAGGTAAAAATCAGCTTGTTCGGCTGGTCATACGCGCGCTAAAATGTTCGTCCACTCACTTCGATGAACGGTTTGAGTTCCTAGGACCAATTGCCGGAATTTGTCTGGGCGAAGCGATTGTGCCCCATCAGACAAGGCGTTTTCAGGATCCGGATGAACTTCAATCATCAGTCCGTCCGCGCCTGCGGCGACGGCAGCCTTGCCATCGGATTGACATATTCCCAATGCCCTGTTCCGTGGCTCGGATCGGCGATGATGGGCAGATGACTCATCTTCTTGATTACCGGGATTGCGTTCAGGTCAAAGGTATTCCGTGTCGCCGTTTCAAAGGTACGGATGCCTCGCTCGCACAGGATGACGTTGTAATTCCCTCGGAAAGTATGTATTCCGCTGAAAGCAGAAGTTCGTTGACTTCCGACATCATACCCCGTTTGAGCATTACAGGCTTTTTCGTTTCACTGAGGCGTGAGAGGAGTCCGTAGTTTTGCATATTCCGTGCGCCGATTTGGATGATGTCGGTGTACTGTTCAACAAGCTGGAGGTCGTGGCTATCCATTAACTCTGTGATGATCAAGATCCCGTTTTGTCCCGCGCTTCGGCGAGGTATTGCAGTCCTTCCTCCCCAAGTCCCTGAAAGCTATATGGCGATGTGCGCGGTTTGAACGCTCCGCCCCGCAGGATCTGTGCGCCAGATTCTTTGACGATTTCCGCCGATTCCAAAATTTGCTCTCGGCTTTCAACAGAGCAAGGACCCGCCATCAGGATTAACGTATCACCGCCAATTTCAACATCTCCGATCTGTATCTTCGTTCTTTGACCATGCCGAATTTCACTACCTGAGAGCTTGTAAGGTTCTAGGATTGGCACAATCTTATCGACGCCGCGCATTGACTCAAGTTGTTGCAGCTCGTGCTTGCCGCGTTCATCCCCAATTGCTGCAATGACGGTGCGCTCTGTGCCCTGAATCGGGTGGGGTGTATAGTTGAGTGTCCTGATTTGAGCGATGACGGCGTCAATAGATTGTTGTTCCGCTCCCGCTTTCATAACGATGACCATGACTATGTCTCCTTGACCAATCCGTTTCACCTTTGAGGCTATTTTTCACGCAGGCTCACCCGCTCGACTTCTCCGGGTTCAATGCACAAATCCTTCCAATCTGACTCCGCATCTATTTTCGCTTTCTGTTGCCAAGAAAAAGATAACGTTGAATCGCCGCCGTTATAGAATATCACATCCCCTTGACCGTCCACGGGCGGACGGATAAGCGATAAAAGATTCCGCGGTAAGCAATTTTTGCCGTCCTGCGTCCGCATCTCCAACGTCGGTATAACCGCGCTCTGTATTTCACGCGTACCAAGCAGAAGCGGACCGTAGCATGATGTGACGGCTCCATGCCCCCAATTCCGTCCATGCCCCGCTGCGACTGAGCAGACAGCACCGCCCATATCCGCGTGTTCCCTACCACCGCGAAGCACTCTCCGTGCCATCGTCAGGCGTGTTGATGCGCTTCGGAACGCTCGTATTGCAAACTCTGGGTTACCGGTGATCTGGTAAGCGAGGGTCATGGCTGCTGTCGATGGTTCCCGGATTGGCTGCACGGAACCGTCGTTCGACCATTCACCCCAATACGCCATATCTGCTCGGCGACCAACGCCCGGCTCCCGTCGCCGTACCTCCTGTGGAAAGATGAGTGCGAGGTGTCTTGGTACAGGTGGCATCTCACTTAGTTGATCACGAATCCACTGATCGAAGGCGGTATCCCCGAATGTCCATCGGTAGTAGCTGATTGCGGCGGCAGCGGGGTCGTGGTACGGGTCGAGTACGGATTCAACGAGTGGTTCGACAATTCGTTTAGCTGCGTCTCTGAAAATCGTATCTCCCGACAGATGGTAGAGATCGCCCAACGCATAAATCGCCCCAGAGGCGAGCAGATTTTCAATTCCTGCTAATGGATCGCTTGAGAGGTGATGTGTGCCGTGGGCGGCTATCCGGTGTAGATTTCTCTTTTCAACTTCCGCTTCGCCCAAGCCGTTTCCAGCCAAATCCCAGAGCAGGGGCATTGGCGATTCAGCAGCGATAATCCGCTCTGCACGTTTCCGACCGTATCGTAGCGACCAATCGAGGTAACGTTGCTCCCCTGTGATCCGATATGCCGCAAGAGCGATATGGATGAATCGGAAGTGTTCGGCGAGCTCGTATGCTGTCTCTGCGTCCGGTTGAACCGTTCGACTCCCGATGTGGTAGCCGTAAAACGTATCGCGATCATAATCGTACCACGCAGGGATCTCCTCGACCCAATTCCCGATGTGCTCGGCGGCATCGATCAACATCGAGCGCGCTTCCTGATCGTCCGGGCACAAGCTCTATGTATCGCGGCAGAAATAGCAGAAACGGCTCTGTACCGTGATGCGCCTCTGCCTCTGGCTCATAGCCGTGCAGACATTCCCGCTCAACCCAACCCGCCAATGCGGATTTCATGTCCCCGAAATGTTTCAAAACGGTTTCATCGCCAGTCACAAGATAGTGCGGAAACCATGCCAAGGTATAATTGGCTTCATCTTCACCACCGCCGTTTGGTCCGGGCGGGTCGAGTGCCATGCTCTGTTTCAGCCACTGATTCATCTCTCCGCGGAGATCTATGTAGTATTTGTAGCATTCTTGAAGGGTGTCGTTCATTAGGTCCTCTCGCGAGTTTAAGGTCAAGCATCTGACGGCACCGGCAATTCAGGCACATACTGATATTCCGAATCCGTCTTCTGTTTCTTTAGGATTGTAATAATCTGCCTCCAAGTCTCAAAAAGACCGACGGGGCAATGCGGGAGCTCATGTTTAATTAGCTTATGCAATTTCCCTAGGTTATAGCACGGAATTGCGGCATACATGTGATGTTCTATGTGAAAATTCATATGCCAGTATACGAACTGAACCAACGGATTCAGGATAATCGTCCGGCAGCAGAGCCGGAAATCCGGCACATTGTCCGTAAGCCCCACATGCTGAGTGGTATTACAGAGGTAAAGTAGCCAACCGCCATACGCCGGAGCCAGTGTGATAAGAACTGGCACCAGCCAGAGACCGAAGTAGAGCGAGACACCAACAATCAGGTGTGTCCCACGAGCTGGATACGAGCCCAGTTGAACAGCTCTCGCCGTTTCTCCACCTCCGATTCAGGGAACATGACTGTCGCTTCGTGATCCTCCAGCTTGCCGAAACTGAGTCGAATAATCGACTTCCACCGGGCGTAGAACCCCCATGGGATTCACAACCGCACTTTTGAGGAAGCCGGTGAATGTCAATTTTACCGGGAACACGACTTCATAATCGTCCGGAGGGTGCAGGGTATATTTGTGATGGTCGGAATGGCTTGCCCAAAAACGGACGTGGTTATACAGACCAAGAAAGCTAAAGATGCGCAGAAAGAAAATATTCAAGAACCTCGTCTTGAAAACCGAGTTATGACATAGCTCATGGAATCCATTCAGGAGGAATGCCCAGATAGTTCCATGGAGGAATAGAATCAGCAATAGTACCGGCAAAGGAAGTCGCCCTGCGGCGTAGAAAGCACCGGTTCCTGTCAGCGCGAGCAATCCGAGATGACCGAGGGTTTGGAGCATTCCTTTCCAGTCGCTGCGTTGGTTGAGAGATCTGAGCACTTCACGATCTATCCGGGGTCTATACCAAGTAATTTTTCGTTGATCTGGATCATTGTTCATGCGACGCGTTTCCTTTCGATTTGCTAGCGTTTGTATCACATGGTCTAAGGTTAGAACCAAATTTTTTCACTTGTACGCTTTTTAAGGAGGTGTTCTACACCGGATTAGAAGCGGATGAGTCCGCGTGCAACCTCCCCGTTGAGCATGTCACTAAATGCCTCATTCACCTCTTCTAATTGATAGGTTCGGGTAATCAGTTCATCCAACTTGAGTTTACCAGCGCGATAAAGTGCAAGCAGACGTGGCATGTCATAGCGGGGACGCGCCGAGCCGTAGTTACTGCCCATTATCGTTTTTTCACCCCAGAACACAATCCCCGCATCAAGGGACAGCGGTTCGAGGGGTGGGGCACCAACCCAGATAGCTTTTCCTCGGTTTCGTATTGCCTGTACTGTTTGTTCATAGGTGGTGCGTGTGCCGATTGCCTCAAAAGCATAATCTGCGCCCAACCCATCCGTCAAGGCTTGAATTTCTGGAATCGGATCGACATCGCTAGCGTTGATTGTATGCGTGGCACCAAACTGACGCGCCATTTCCAGTTTCGAGTCCATCAGATCAACCACGATGATTCTCTCAGCGCCGGCGATGGCTGCCCCCTGAACGACGTTTAAGCCAATCCCGCCGGCACCAAAAAGCACAACACTGCTTCCCGGACGGACCTGAGCGGTATTGGTTGCTGCGCAAACTCCTGTTGTGACGCTACAACCGATGAGAGCAGCCTTATCCAATGGGATGTCATCATCAATAGGAATAGCGCACTCTTGTGGAATCACACTGTACTCGGCAAAGGAAGCCACCATTCCAAAATGGTGGATGGGCACACCGTTCTTTTTGTAACGTGTTGTGCCATCAAGCAGGTTTCCACGTCCCCTCGTCTCGATGTCATGCAGAGGTTGCCATACCCTTGCGTGCAATAGCTACAGTGACCGCACGACGGAACCCATGAAAGAATCACATGATCACCCGGTTTCACTAAGGTGACGCCTGCGCCGACCTCCTCAACGACACCTGCCCCTTCATCCCCCAGCACCACGGGGAACGGGATGCTCAACATGCCGGTGACCGCGTGGTAGCAGCTATGACAAACTCCAGTCGCTGCGACTTTGACAACAATTTCCCCTGCTTTGGGCCCTTCCATCTCAATATCTTCAACAACAACCGGTTGGTTCAGTCCATATAAAACAGCAGCTTTCATAACTTTTCCTCCAGCAGTTAAACTATTCCCCGATCTTTTTTCATGTGTAACGACAAGCTAGGATTCAATGTAAACAGCTTCTCTTTTAAGTTTTTAGGTAGAGTTTCGTCAATGAGACTTCGCATAGGCTTGTGTGACCAGCATCTCCTTCGCCAGTTCCAACGTTTGGATAGCTTGGCCACGACTTACAGAAGGAAAATCATCCAAGAATTCGTCAAGGCTGTCGCCATGCTTCTAAATAGTCGATCAGGTTTTTGATGGGAACGCGAGTGCTCTTAAACACAGGTGTGCCAGAAGGAATTTCGTCATCGCACGTGATAACACTGGTCCATCGCTATTGTTTTTCGTTCTTTAGGTCCCATAATTTACCATCTCCTCGATAATCACGTTTTATCAATGGAGTTGTTTCTCCGAAAAACCATCTCACAGTTTGGTTATTTAAGAATCAATCGTTTCCGAAAATCCTCTACAGAGCAGATTTACAGTGTGTCCTCTCTCACCCAATGCCGGAACAACGGTTTTACGTCGTTAGGGAAGGCATCGTAAATGTCCGGCGGGATGGGCGGCACGTTATTCTCCGTTCCTCCAGCTTCGTCTACAATGCGGGCACGCTCATCTGAACCGGCCATCAGCACGTCTAGATTGAGCCACCACGGTGCGTAGCGCACCACCACCGAATTCGCGTTGGTCGTGCGATCGCGGGCGCGTGCATGCCACATACGGCTGTCCATCACGAGCACACTGCCGGCGGGACCGGTCGCCTGCATTTCGGTCGGGTAGGGAACATTCGGATCGACGCCGTTATTTCCGGTCGGGTTATTATTTGATCTATGGCTGCCGGGAACGATCAGGGTGCCCCCGTTTTCGCAGGTGAACGGTGATAGCAATCCACAGCGTCGTGATGTGCATCGTCGCGTCGGATAGGGGGTGGGGATGTGACCGGCGTTGTTCTGATTAAAGGGCCAATCCCCGTGCCATCCCCCACGCTCATTTCCCGGATAGTTGATCGTGCCAGTCGTAAAGGATACCCGCACATGGGGTCCTAACAGTGCTTCGACAAAGGCAAGCATGCGCCGGTCAGCCAAGTAGGGAGCGATTGATTGATTGTAGCGGATGAATCCCGGTACATGGCCGATACTGTCAGGCGCATTAGGATTGCGGTGCACAATGGTCGATTGTTCGACACTCTCGCGTACAGCATCAACCTCGTTTTCTGGGATGATGCCTTCCATAACATACCACCCATCAATTTTCAGGTGCTGCAACGCTTGATCCAAGCTCATGGTGAGTGCCTCCTACCAATCCGGTCGACCGACATAGAGTCCGCGGTTGACCATCGGCAACGGTACACGCATACCACCCAAGCGGTCGGATTCGATCATCCCCATCAGCATCTCTTGGCTGCGACGTGCAAGTTGAATCGGTCCCTGTGTCTCCTCTCCGGTGTCCAACGCTTCTGCGAGGTTCTTAATACCCATCTCCGTGCCGCTCTCGCGGGGTACTTCTGGAAAGGGCATCTCCTCTAGGAGGCGAGAGGAATCCGACGCCTTGCGAAACTGGCAGGTCATCCCGTTATTAATGGTGCGCATTTTTCCCTTTGTACCGCACACCTCAAATTCAGGACCGGTACCTGCCGTGTTGTAGCCGTGGACTCCGTTGGCAAAACGGACATAACCGCCAGCGATGGCAGGGTCGGTGTTAAGACGATTTCCAGCCCAATCTTCGGGGTCGCAAATAATCGAACCTTGAACGAAATCAATCTCTACATCGCCCGCGAGATATAGCAGCATATCGGCGGCATGGGTCAGTCCCCACAACGCAGAGGTAGCACCATATTGAGCGATGACACACTGAACATCGCCAATTTCGCCAGCGTCGATTAATTCACGCATCTTGCGATAAAACGGCATGAAGCGTCGTTGTGTCCCGTAGTTGAACTTGGTGCCATTTCGCTCAACAGCATCTACCATGGCATCGGCTTCCTCCATTGAGCAGCAGAGGGGTTTTTCGGCGTAGATACCTTTCACGCCGTGTTCGGCGGCGAAGATTGCGACTTCGGCACGTTGCGGCGGACGGGTAGCAACGCACACGATGTCCGGCTGTACCTTTTCAATCATTTCGCGGTAGTCGGTGTAGGCGTGTTGCGCGCCATAGCGTTGGCGAGCGGTTTCCGCCTTCTCGGCGATTACGTCCGATACTGCTACCAGATCTGTTCGATCGCACGCCACGGCTGCTGCTGCATGCGAGTAAGGAATCCAGAGGAAACGCTCCGGACGTCCTGCCATTTCGTCGTCAATTGTGGCACCCATGCGGCCACATCCAATTAAACATGCACGGTATTGCTTTGGCATCATGTACTCCTTTTATGGGATAATCTTGTAATTGTTATGTTACCCTGCTGCTCGCAACCGTTGTGTAGCACCCTCATCTACGTCCCATGTCTGTGGGTTAATGACTACACCGTAGGCGTCACGGGCATGTGTGAGCGTAACTTTTTCTTCGAGAACATCGGTCAGTACCGCTTGCGGGTCCCGTTCAAACGGATTTCCCCACCCCCCTGCACCCGCGGCGATGTGACGGAAGACATCGTTACGTCGGATGGTCATTGTGGGTTTAGGGGGCAGCTCACGAGCCTCGCGATCAGGATTCAAGATATTTTGTGATGGGGCACCTGTACCTCCACCTTGCAAACCGTAGGGGTGATACTTTGTGCGGTCGGCGCGAATTTGCAGTGTCGCTTCTTCTGCTAACAAACGAAAATCTCGGATCAGACTCAGCCCTCCACGGTGGATTCCCGCGCCGCCGGTATCGGGAAGATAGCTGTAACCATCAATCCGCAGCGGCAGCTCGGCTTCCAACACTTCAGCGGGATTGTTGGAAAAATTGACCACACTGCTCGCGACACCGTCAATCCCATCTTTATCCGGGCGTCCTCCCCACGAACCGTAGAGAAATTCAAGGAACACAAAGCCGCGCAATTCCGTTTTTCCATCTTGCACGACACGCTCGTAACCGCCGATGCTTACGCCGGTATCGCCTCCGATTTCGCATGCGGGGACCCGATCGGGGGCAGCTTGGGCGAGTGCACCAAAAACGACATTGGCGATACGAAAACCGGTCAAACCTCGTGCAGCGACTGGACCCGGTGCCAGTGGATTGACAATCGTGCCCTCCGGTGCAATGACCGTAATTGGGCGGAAGTAGCCGCCATTATTCGGAACATCCGCTCCCATCAAGCAGCGCACGCAGGCATAGGCTGTTGATTGTGTAAATGAGAGCGGACAGTTGATTCCACCTCTAACCTGTGGCGATGAGCCTGTGAAGTCAACGGTCATTTGATCGCCAGTAATGGTAATAGCGACCGCAATTGGGATCGGGTCAGGGTCAATACCATCGTCGTCGAGGTAGTCAGTAAACGAATAAGTACCATCAGGCAACCCATCAATTTCCACTTTCGCGGTTCGCTCGGCATGGTTAAGCAGCTCTTCAAAATAGGCTGAGAGTTGGGCTGCGCCGTATTTCTCGAATAACGCCCGAACACCCTCCTGACCGACATGCAGACACGCCAATTCCGCCCGTAAATCGCCAAGTACCTGACGCGGGATGCGCACGTTGCGAGCGATGAAATCGAAGACCGTTTGATTCGCTTCGCCTTCGTCGTAGAGTTTGAGCAGTGGGATGCACAAACCTTCCTGATAAAGTTCTGTGGCGTCACAGCCATTTCCGCCCGGCGTTTTGCCCTCCGATGTCGGTGTGATGGGCGATACAGACGACGAAGGCAATAGGGGTCGAATTGTCGAGAAAAATGGGTTTGCACAGATACATATCAGGCAGGTGCGAGCCGCCTTCGTACGGGTCGTTGGTGATGTAGATATCGCCGTCACGCATCTTGCCGCCGAACTTAGCGATGACCGCCCGCATAAATTCGGGCACAGAGCCGAGGTGCAGCGGCAACGTCAAGCCTTGTGCGATGAGTGCTCCCTCCCGTCGCACACCGCTGCGGACAAGTCCATCGCGTTTTTGAGATTGGATGAATACGCCGTACGCACCAGCGTCAGTGCCATCTCATCTACTAACGCATCCAGTGCGTTTTTAATGAGTTCTGATGTAATGGGATCAAGGGGATTTGCTGTGGTGTTCATCATCTGCTCTTTCTACCGCTAATCAAGGATAAGTTTGAAACTTAGTAGAGATTTCTTCCGCCCGTTGGGTTTAGGAATCAAACGAGAGTGGGGAATTTTTCTCTGTTGACATCGCACCATAGTGATGCTACACTGTACCGTAAAATCTGAGAAAAATCAAGCCGAAAATTGGATTGACTGAAGATAAGTTTTGGTTAGTGCATCATGGGATTAGTTTGACCAACCGTTGACAGCGATAAACCCGTTCAGGATTGTACGATATGAGGAAGTTAGGGATGAGATACGTCCTTGCGATTTGCCTGATTGGCGTAAGTGCTTTTTTCATTTCCTGTGATAATGAGGAGGTGGTAGCACACTATAATCGGGGAAATGCTTATCAGGATGAAGGCAAATTCAATCGAGCGATTCTAGCATACAAGAAAGCGATCGAGATGGACGCCAACTTTGCAGAAGCGCACTATAGTTTGGGAAACACCTATTATCGTCAGGGTCAAATTGATGAAGCGGCAATAGCGTACAGAAATGCCGTCCGTATCCAGCCAGATTTTGTGGAGGCGCGTAACGGCTTGGGACTTGTCTATCGTATCCAAGACAACGATGAGGCTGCAATCGTGGAGTTCAAAGAGGTGGTCAACATTGCCCCGGATAACCCACGAGCGCATTACAATCTGGGTCGCACTTACATGGATCAAGGTAAATTTGAGAGTGCTATTGTTTCGTTAGAGCAAGCGATTCACCTCAACCTGAATAGTGCATACGCTTACTACTACCTCGGAAATTCCTACAAAGCGCGGGACAAACTTGACCAAGCCATGGCTGCATACAAAAAGGCTATTGCGATAAACCCATACGACGCCTTATCACATCACAATATGGGAATCTCCCTTTATAATCAGGAGCGGTTTGATGAAGCCATAACCCACTTTGAAGCGGCAGTCCGCATTAGCCCGAGATTGGCAAATCTGTACAATAACCTCGGAAAAGCCTACAAAGCACAAGACAAACTTGATGAAGCCGTCGCTGCGTTCGAGAAGGCAACGAGCGTCAACCCAAGCGATGCAAGAGCATATTACAATTTGGGGGCCATCTATGCTGAACGAGGCGATAATGGAGATGCTATGACCCAGTACAAGAGGGCGCTCCACTTGGCTCGTACCAATTCCAACCTACAGGAACTTATACCTGAGATAGAAGATCGTATTAAAGCGTTAAAATAAAACTAAACCCTTTCAATGGCATCGGAGGAAAATATGCGTGTTATTGCAATTGGTTGTGAATATACCGGCGTTACAACTTTACTTGATGGGCTTATGGACTGGGGGCATGAGCGTGACATCAACCATCACCTTGATGATCACTTTACCATCCCAGACCGTCAACATCTAGCTCCTGAAGATAAAGAGACGATGGTCAACCTCTCTCCTGCGCTCAAAGAGCGATTTCAGCGGATGCAACTCGTTTATCATATCCGCTTATTGCATCGCTTTGACCATATCTTGTTAGGTGGCTTCCACATTGAGGAGGCGATTTATGGTCCCCTCTACTACTATCCCGGTCGCGTAGCGAGTGAGATACGCCAGTATGAAGAGGAGATGCCAAAGAACGCGATCTTGGTGCATTTGACAGCTAGTGCAGAAGTGATTCAAAGGCGTATGGAGACAGATCCTCACGAGTATTCCCTCATTAAGAAAGAGGATATTCCGATGCTTCTGGATCGTTTCCAAGCAAGAATTTGATGCGTCTTTGATTCCGAACAAAATTCAGATTGACACCTCCGATCTGGCACCGGATGCACTTCTTCAGACTTTTCTAAGCCAATCCGCTCAATTTGTAGAATGAAATCATAACAAGACAGCGTGAACGGAACTATGCTCAATTCTGTATACCTGTAGGCATATTGTCTCCTCCCAAAACCGTGTGTCTCCAGTGTCTTTTGTAACGGTACACCGCTGCTAATTCTGCAATGCACTTCCTCTCCACCGCTCCGTTTGAGGTCCCGCTTCGCTAGAGGTTTGATTACATGCTTCTACCCTCCAATTTACAAGAGTTCGCTGTTTTTGTGAACTGACAAATGTCTGTTTTATCCACAATCACAATCACAGGGAGTGAATAACTATTGGTGAGTTTTCAATGGGTTAACCAAAAGAATTGCGAAGAAATACCCCGCATCTGGATTTAACGGATTAAGTTTGATTGCCGAAATCTATGCTGACAGATGCGCATTATCGCCGAAAGGAAACGATATGCACGAAACACAGGATACTATGACAACCTCCCCAACGCGAGCGTTCCTTGTTGGGGTCAAGTTGAAAGGTGAATTACAGAGTGATGCGGAAAGTTCGCTGGAAGAACTGAGACGGCTCGCTGAAACGGCGGGGATGGAGGTGCTGGCTGAGATCTATACAGCCGAGAGAGACACCCGATCCCGCCTATTTTATCGGGCGAGGAAAGTTAGAGGAATTGGAGGCGATAGTCAGTGAGCTCAAAGTGGAGGCGGTAATTTTTGATAACGACCTCACACCGGCACAGACCCGCAACTTGGAAAAAGCCCTTGATATTGTCGTTGTCGATCGAACAAGCCTGATTCTACAGATTTTCGCGCAACGTGCACAGACCAAAGCCGCCAAACTACAGGTAGACCTTGCCCAACTTCAATATGCGTTGCCGCGTTTGACGCGGCTGTGGACTCACCTCTCTCGACTTGGCACAGGTGGCGGCACAGCAGGCGGCAGTGCTGGGCGTGCCGGCGGCGTGGTGCGTGGACCCGGTGAAACCCAGCTTCAGATTGACCGGCGGTTGATTCGCACACAAATTTCACGGGTAAAAAAAGCACTTCAGAAAGTTGAGAAGCATCGCCGCGTACAGCGAAAACAACGTCAGGAGATGATCAATGTCTCGCTTGTCGGTTACACCAATGCGGGAAAATCAACGCTGTTTAACGCCTTGACAAGTGAGAAACAGTTGGCTGAAGATAAGCTGTTTGCGACATTGGATCCAACGACCCGCACCCTCGATTTGCCAGATAACCAACATGTGCTATTGAGTGATACGGTCGGTTTTCTCAAAAAGCTACCGCACCATTTGGTGGATGCATTTAAGGCAACGCTGGAGGAAGTCGCGGAGGCGGATCTGCTGCTCCATATCGTTGATGTAGCCCATCCCGAAGCGGAGAGTCAGATTGATGCTGTTGATGAGGTGCTTAAAGAGTTGGGTGCCCTTGAGCGACCAACGCTCATGCTGTTTAACAAAATAGATCTGCTGGAGGAGGAAGGACATATCCAGCTATTCCAGAGTAAATATCCCGATAGCCTTGCAATATCGGCGCAGAATGGCGCGGGATTGGAAGCATTAAAAGAGTTGCTTGCTGAACGGTTCTCAGCTCAGGACGTAGATGTGTCGCTCGCGCTCTCCTATCAAGACGGGAAGGCACTAGATTATCTGTATAAGCATGGTGAGGTGTTTGATACCGACTATCAAGGTGAGTCAATCAAGGTCAAAGCAAAGCTCCCACAACGTTACTTGAAGGCTTTAGACCGCCTCACGACCAATTCAACCTCCGTCATACTAAATCCCAAGATTGATTCATAGGGGCAATTCTTCGCTTCCCTCAAGGACTGGTCACGATATATCCTTAATCAGAAATCGGGCGGTATTAGGAATGCTCCGACATCTGTATGGTGATGTCTATTACTGGACTGAACGCCACGGCAAACCTGAAACGACAAACTATTGGAATAGCTGCGCGATTCGTATAGATTCAGCAAACATCTTGGCATTGGTTGATCCACTGCCTTTGACGGATGCAGAGATTGGACAAATCGAGGAAATCGGTACGCCAACCCACATCCTCTTGACCTGCAATTGGCATCTCAGAGAATCGGAGATTTACCGACAGCGATGGGGTTGTAAAATTTATCTCAACGCACTCGGATTGGCAGAAGCGGAGACGACGATAGACGGTACTTTCGAGGGTGGAGATCGGTTGTGGGACGCTGTTGAAGTGATTCATATTCCCCACGTTGGTTGGACGGAGGAGACAGCGTTCCTAGTGGGGCAAGAGCAGGGACTGCTCATCGTGGGAGACGTCAGTATGTGGCGGACGAGCGGATATTGGTGTCCCCGAAGGCGAGATCGGCATCTTTCCCAATCAGCTTGAATCTATTCCCGACCGTCAGAAGGCGCGAAATTCGCTGATGAATCTGATGGAATACCCTTTCGATGCCATCTGTTTTGCACACGGCTCTCCGATTCGGCATCAAGCGAAAGCGGCGTTGCAGCGATTTATCGACGCGAACTTGTAAGACCACCGCATTGTCATGAAGCAAGCGAAGATTGAAGTGGAGAGATAACTAAGTAGTAGGAGTTGTGATCTTTTTGGCTTTTCAACGTACATGACGCCGTCAATTCCCTCAAAATCCGAATCCTGTGGTCACAAGGTCGCATTGTTGTCGCGAGTCGAATTATAATTGATTCGATGAAAGTATGTCAAATTTCAAAAGTGTGGAACAGGAGGATTAACGATGCAACCAACTCAGCCAACATGGGGACGCTATCAAGAACTTCGTCCCGACGAACTGGCGGACTGTATTAAAGCAACCCCAATCGCCTTCTGGCCCCTTGGCCTTATCGAACATCACGGGTGGCATTTGCCTGTTGGATATGATGGACTCAAAGCGGAACGCATCTGCATTCGGATTGCCGAAAACACGGGCGGAGTCATCCTACCGACGATGTGGTGGGGCGCAAATGGCGGTCACGGGGATTTTCTCTGGACGCACTATCAGCCGGAGGAAGCGACCGCTTCGATTTTGGTCAATACCACCAAACAGCTGATCAGATTCGGGTTTCGGATTATCGTGCTGCTCGCAGGACACTATCCCTGGCAAGGGATACTGGAAAAACATATCCCGCCGGTCCAACAGGCGCATCCCAACACCTTTTTTTTATGGGGCACGGAAATGTCAATCTGCGGAGAAGCCGTAAAACTCCACGGCGATCACGCGGCACGGGAGGAGACTTCCTACGGGCTCTGTTTATTCCCGGAGTTCATCGATATGAACGCCCTGCATTCAGGGCGGGATACATCAGCTTGGCCCAGGGGCGAAGTTCCTCCGGTCGAGAATCGCCATCGCGGCGTGTGCTTTGATCCAAACGACCCGCTGTTTGGACAGATGGGGGAGGATGCACGGACCGCCTCTGCAGAGAGAGGGGAGAAAGGTATTTCGCGTCTGGTCGCTCATTTGTTAGATGTAATAGGCTCCTTAGATGAACAGGCATAGGGGTGCAGTTGTGTGGCGATGATGAGAAACCGTTAGCTTCACATCATCGCCCTCAAAGATGGGTGAATCAAATGCACGCCCTACTGTTTCACGCGCTGCCCACCCTCAATGGCGAGGAGAAACGCCTTCCCATCTTCCGACATCTCCGCCTCTTCGGGCGGTTTTCCTTCAAGTTCTTTCTTTAGCGCGGGATAAGCGGTGACCGTGGGTATCTCGTCGAGCTCTGTGAGCGGTGGGATACGAGACTCAGCAGCTTCAATTATGGGGGCAAGTCTTTCCAGCTTTTGCTTCCTGTGTATTCGTCACGTTCCTTGAATTCGGGCATGACACGCGATGCGAGTAGTTCAAGGGCTTCGCAGATATCCTCGTGGCGGTTGCGACCTGCCTGCTGGATGAAGATCACCTGATCGACCCCCATCTCCTCGTATTTTAGCAGATGTTCGCGGAGTTGGTCTGGTGTAGCCGATGCCGCCTCTCGCCTCATGGGGTGGGTCCGGTGCTTCCTCATACGACTTCCAAACGTCCGTGTGACCGGGAACGTGGGATCCGACGACATAATAGTGTGAGAGCCCATGTGTGAAAAATCGTAAGCCTTCCAAGCCTCGCTCAATGGCTGTCGCTTCATCCTCATGGCATGAAAAGCCACTCACCATTGCGACACTCAGATTCACCGCCTGACCGATAGGCTGACACTCCTTCTCGGCAATTTCGTAATACTCCTCGACCCAAAACTTTGCATCATCTGGATGGACGAACGCAAATGTTAAAGCCCCCATACCGTTCCGCGCTGCATACCGCATGGTGTCTCGACTGGGACAGGCAACCCAGATAGGCGGGTGCGGCTTCTGAACCGGCTTCGGTAAAACGTTGCGGGGCGGCATTGAGAAATACTTCCCTTCAAAACCGGCGTAAGGTGTTTGCACCATCATCTTGGCAGTTTCACGGGTACACTCCTCCCACATCTCACGTTTCTGCTCAGGTTCAACTCTGAAACCGCCGAGTTCTATGTGTGAGGCAGATTCGCCGGTGCCCCACTCCACACGCCCATTTGAAACGAGATCGAGCGTCGCAATCCGCTCGGCGACACGGGCGGGGTGATTATAGGCGGGCGGCATCAACACAATGCCGTGACCGAGCCGAATTCGCTTCGTCCGCTGACTGCACGCGGCGAGGAACACTTCGGGAGCGGAGGAGTGGGAGTATTCCTCAAGAAAATGGTGTTCGACCTCCCACACGTAATCATAGCCGAGCCGATCGGCAAGTTCGACCTGATCGAGGGCATCTTGAAATAGCTTCAGTTCGTCGCCATCGTTCCACGGGACGCGGGATCTGGTGTTCGTAGAATATACCAAATTGCACAGGTCACAACCTCCACTATAGCAATTTAGTCCTCTGAAGATTTAGAAGGTGCTGGACTGGGACGGGACCAAATGCCAATCTCTTTGTAATAACGGATTGAACCGGCGTGAAACGGTGTGCCGGTATCCTTCACAACATTTTTGGGGTTAATTGCCTTGCCCGCAGGGTGTGTCTTAACGACTTCGGCGCGTTGTTCGTAGAGGATTTTGGTGAATTGATAAACGGTCTCCGCGTCTACGTTTGCACTAGTAATCAGGTGCATGGCACCGACATTCATGCCGTGGAAAGGCTCGTCTTGGCCCCGATATGTCCCCGAAGGGATAACAACGGCGTTAAAAAACGGATAGTTTTCAAACAGTTCCTGTTTCGCCGTGTCATCGAAGGGAATGAAAAAGATGTTCTGAGACGCACTAGCTCGCGTAATTGATGAGGTCGGGACTGCCCCACCCAAGAACGCAGCGGCGGCGGAACCGTCAGCGAGCATGTCAACGGCACCGGCTTGGGTGTTATGGAGCGGCGAAAAATCTTGGTAACTCACGTCGTGTGCACCCAGAATCGGTTCCAAAAAATACTCGAAACCCCGCGCCGGCTGGACCAACCACCACGCGCTTCCCCTTCAAATCCGAGAGCTTCTTTACACTGGAAGATTGTGAGGTAATAAAAAGGGCGACATTAGGAGCAAGGGTCATCACCACTCGAATGGGCTGCTCCCCTTTCCATGCACCTTCCCCGCGAACCGCGAAGTAAGAGATGGCGGCATTGGCAAGGGCAAATTCTAACTCACCCTTGGCGAGACGCCGGATATTTTCCTGTGTGCCTTTGGTCGCTTCCGCGGAAACCTCCCAGTTCATGTCGCCTGTATGGTTGCTGACGACCTGCGCGATCGCACCACCGACGACAAAAAATGCTCCACCCGGCGGTGCTGTACCCACGCTGAGAAATTGGCGTTTTTGCGCGCTAGCGTTGGAAACAGCGAAGCTTAGTGAAAGGATAAACCCAACAATCACAAGGTAGTTCCAGTTAATTCGTTTGCTTTTTTTGATTAAATCCATCTTTCTGTTCCTTTTGATGAGAATAAATTATACCAGCGCAGGTTACGGCATACGGAGTATGCCTACTACTATATCAACCTGCATTATATTAACCGACCCGATACCGTTCAACCGCATCCATATCAAGCCCCACACCGAGTCCCGGTTTGTCTGGAACCTTCGCCAACCCATCCTTAATGGTCAACGATTCAGCGAGAAGTGAATGCTCTAGCAATATGTAAAGCGAAACATGGCTCAACGACGCATTCGGGAGAGCGGCGGCGAGATGCACCATGAAAACCGCAGAGACACCTGTAAAACCCATCTGGAGCCAGAACGGCTTGTTCGCAGCGGAGGCAATGTTGGCACATCGTAGAATACCAGCGAGCCAGCCACCCACCACGTAATAGTCATAGGCAGGGGAAGGGAGCGAAATCGTTGGTGCCGGTGAGCCAAAGTGGATTGCCAGTGGGAGACCGAGTTCTTTCTTGATCCGCAGATACCCCTCAACGTCCTCCTGAACGATTGGCGATTCCAAGCACTTGACGTGGGGATACTCTTTCAACCGCCGACCAAAGGATAGGGCGCGTTCCACCGTTCCAAAGGTGGTATTGGCATCGATTGTGAGCTCATAATCGTCTGGTGCTACCTCCGCAATGGCTTGTACCTGTTCCACCACGTCGGTATGGGCGCGACGTTTGAACTTATGCACTCGAAAACCGCCTTCTAGCGCAATTTTTACCTCTTCCTGCAACACCTCCGGCGGGAAGCACTGCGACCAGTATGCGATTGGTGCGCTCTCCTGACTGGGACCGAACATCCGCGCCATCGGTAGCCCGACTGCTTGCCCCATCAGGTCATAAAAAGCGATCTGAAGGGGCCCCGCGGTATCGTCCATGATGAACTCAAAGGGGCTTCG